CAAGGGCTAACCCACCACATGGTGGTAGGAAGATAAACTGCTACCCTGACAGGGAATAGAAGCAGAAGAGTTCACAGCAGCAAGCAGTCCCTGCCCTCCTTAAATAAGGAATACAATCCTACATGGAAGAAGACAAGGCATGTAATCCCCTACAGTGCTGTGGGAGCTGGTGGGCTGGACTCCACTCCAGAAGCATCCATGGTTACCGGGATGACAGGTTTTCGTGTTCAACGTTGGTCTCAGCTGTGTTACCGCATCTCAGATTTAGCCGCAGATGTGAGCTAACACAGGAGGCCAGGGGCTGTGTAAAGATATGGCAGCTGCTGGTCAAGAAGTTCTCAGAAGTAAAGGACAACTGGAAGCCCAGTCTCCTTCTGGAATACTTCACAAAACTGTTTGCAAAAATTGGTACCAGCAATCCCGGATAGCCCTGTCAGATGTGGTTAGAAAAGGAAAATGAAAGCTTCAAGAGACATGGCACGAGGAGGGGACAAAAACCTGCTTCAAAAAAACATTCCTGAAACCTTTTCTCTGTTTTCAAGTGTAGCACATCTCAACAGAGGTGTAAGGGTTATCAGCTCAGTCTGCTCTGGTAGCAAGGGAGGGGCTGCAGTGGTGGCTCCTGTAAGTGACTGCTAAGGGTTCACCCCCACCCCCAGCTCCGGGGTTTTAGTAGACGGGGGGGGAGTAGGGGAAGGAGTACCACCAATCTAGCCCCTGTCAGAAACTACTGGAAGTTTCCCCAGCTTCAGGCTGGACCCACCCCAGGCCAGGGCTGAGCCAATCAGCGCCTCTGCGAATAACATATTTAAGAGGGGGCACGGAACAACGGAGTTCGTGCGGCCCCAGGCAGGGCTCAGCTCGGGTGGACCAGCCCAGCTGCCCAGCCACCTGCCTGGCTTCTGCAAACCGACCTGCGGTACCCCAAGCCTCTGCCATAGCTCGCCTGAGAGTCCATCTTCTCGGGAGCCGATGAAGACCTGCGGTGGAGAGGAAAGTGGGATCTGAGAGAGAGGACTACACAGACACTCCGGTCAGCGAAGAGAAGGCAAGAGGAAGGAGGATCCCCTCAGAATTTCCCCTGCAGTGTGGTGAAGATTCATGGTGACACACGGTTTGTCCCTTGGTGCAGCCCATGAGAAGATGTAGCCGTGGAGGACTCCATGTAGGAACTTTGGAGAAAAACCCACACCGGAGCCGGGCAGTCATCGGGGCACTGTGGTCCTGTGTGGAAAGGACTCACGCCAAAGCAGTTTGAAAGGACTCTCCCATGAGAAGGGACCCCATAGTGGAGCCAGGAAAGACTGTGAGGAGCCCTCCCCTGAGGAGGAAGGAGCGGGGACTGACTGCACCCCCCATTCCCTGTCCCCCCTGTGCCGCCTCGGGGGGAGAAGGTACAGAACAAAGCCTTTGGGCTTTGGAAAGAAGGGAGGGGTGGGGGAGAAGTGCCTTTTTAAGATGTGGTTTCTCTCTCTCAGTATCTTGCTTCTTTTTGTAAATAGTTAATAAATTCAATTGTTTTTTTTGTTCTTCCCAAGTCATGTGGGTTTCTTGCCCGTGACCCTAAGTGGTGAGTGAAACCCTCCCTGTCCCTGCCTCAGCCCAACAGGTGTTTAACAAAGGACTGTCTGGTGGCCTTTCTAAACCTCGACAAGCTCACAAAGACCAAACAAAGCAGAGGAACAATAAGACTAAACTTAAATAAAACAAAACAAAACAGAGGGCAAAGCACAGTTAGGAGAAAGCTCAAAGTACCCCTTAGTCCTATGTGGTTAAAGAGAAATAAATAAGGAGCTACTCTGTTCTGTACTAAATATCAAAGGGGTTGGGGCACGAATCCCTACAACACCAAGGGAAGAAAGAAAATTTATGTGACTAATCAGTTATCAGGCACATTTATAAACAAAATTACATATCACTGACAACTGATTCCAGCATATCTACCATTGAAAAGCATTACAAATTTAGATGGAAAAAACCAATCAATACCTAAAAATGACCTTAATTTCCAGCTAGTCCTGTAAAAGCTGTTTACAATTCCTTACACATGAAAATAAGGCTCCACGCCATCTTACAGACAGCATGAACAAACTAATGGATGTTTAAGATGGCTTTGTTTTCAGTGCCGTAGCTGACAGCAACAACAAAGAAAGTCTCAAGTGTTCTAGGCTCACACGCACTCTGACAGTGTAAACGTATCTCAGGCTTACAGACATAGAACAAGCACTTAGAAGTGTTGGTGTTGAAATATTTTATATTCATGAAAATTCTAGCCTCTTAAAAGCATGCCTGTATGCAAGACATATTCTGACTGTTCACTGGAAAAAAATAAGTCATTGTAAAAATGAACTGTTTTTCATATGTGCTGAAGAGTCTGCAAGCAGCATTTCTGAAGTGCTGCAGTCCTTGCCAGGTGTGAGATGGCTGGTGCCCAGCAGCTCCTACATGTGACTTCCACTGAGCTGACTCTTTGAATTAAGTGATGCCAAGTCCCAGCCCTTGCTTGCCTTCTTATTCTGTGGTTATATGCATGCCTCCACTGAACATTTCTAACCTGCAGGCTGCTAGGTTTCACAAGTGCTTAAATCTTGAAAAACATCCTCCAGACAGAAACACTAAAAGCAGCAAACTCCATAGTTGCAGTTATTTCTGTTCTGCTCCTGAAGCACTGGTAGCAAAAGCATTCTGCCTCCACAGCATGTGTGCTCAACTGGGGATAATGCTCCTAGAGCATTCTCCCTGGTTCTTCAAAGCTGGAAGTACCAGGGCAGGTCCCTCCATGCTACACCAATCTATAACACAGATCTTAAAAGGCCCAGCAACACTAATAGGTATGACTTTTATAGCAACCCAAATGTTAATCATTCCAAAGAAGGCCTTGTGTATCTCATTGTATTGAAAAAGAAACACATAAGTTATAAACCTAGCAGCAAAACCTAGATCTCCTGATCTCTCTCTCTCTTCCTGCAGTGTATCTTGTGTACCTGACTTTTAGGTATTACTGGAGGGATTTTGATTTCTAAGAAGCCACTAAATATGGATGAGGCCACAGTAATAACATATTAAGGGACGCTTATTTAAATAAATACAAGATGTGAACTTAAAATGTTTTTTTCATCTTGGAATACTTATGCTGTATTCAGGAATCAGCTTATTCACCGTTTACACAGTGAGACAATCCTCAAGAAAACTAATGCTTGCATTACTTTTACAACATGAAAGGACATATTTCACATAATTCAAAGGAATGTGGGGGTATTTTTAAAGCCTTGGGTTGAAATGCAAAGCAAAATTTCTTGTGATTTCAGTGTTTTTGTTGATAAGGCAGACATGCACAGTTATAAACAGCAACTGTTCTTCCTGAGCTGAACTTGGGAAGCACAGGAGGGGAAGTTACAGAGAGGAAACTAGTGACTCACCTGTAGATGATGTTGAGCATGCTGTGCTCACAGTCATTGGTGCTGTAAACACTCAGTTTGTCCAACAAGTCCAGCAGATGTGTTGAGAAATTGCTATCAAACTTGTTGATCGTTGCTTCGAAGCCAGATGTCAGGTGGAGGTTGTCGGCATGCTCTGCTAAAAGCTAGCAAGACAAAAGAATAGTGGCCCCATGTGTTTGCTGATTCACACTTGTCAAAGAGGTGCAATTATTCCTTCCCTATTTCCTAACCTGCTCAAAAATACTGCCGTAAAACTTAACAGTCACTGAGCCACTAAAATAAATCTCTCCAAACAGCTGCAAGTCCTCGGTAGTTAAAAACCTTGCTATGCCTATCTGGGAGAACCGCAGGGTAGACCCAGTAGAGTTACATGTGAATTAAATATATATGCTGTCATTATTTATTTTCAAGCAGGAGGAAAAGCCAATAAGCAGAAAGTGAGTGTTGCCTGAGACGGCACTTGTGGCCTTGCAGCATGATGGGCCCTACTGGATGCGTGCCAGAGACGGGCTTTTGGCAGGAAACCCCAGAGCACACCAAACAAATCGCTTAGTATGTGCACCTAGACAGAGAAATATGGACAAGACAAATACCCCAGGTGCAAAGGCACAGGCTGCAAAGAGTCACACCCAATAGCTTATTGGCTCATCCATTACAAAATGCTAGTTCTGGAAATAAGAAAGTTCTTGAATCGCAGAAAGCCTGTATGTGAGTCCCCACTGCATGCCTGAAAATACAGCTGAGAACTTAAAAACAAGCGGAGGGACTGCTTTGGGAGACAGGGTCTTCAAAGCAGGCTTTGAGAACACCAGCAGCTCTCCACACTGCCCTCAAAAATGCACACAGTTCTGCAAAGATTCTGCTTTTGGGGTCATAGGTGCTCTGGAAACTAGGAAGGTCTATCTGCAAGAGGTAGGACAGCCATCCTGAGCCACTGCAACCCCGACAGCACTGACAGAGGAAAGGGCCTAGTTGCCCATCCCGTGTCCCACCTTATTAGTCAGCTTCTTCTTTGCAGTCTCTTCAGCACGCTCCTCCTCTGTTGGTGGGCCCAGCATGGTGCCATGCTCTAAGGTGAGTCGGTCCATCTCATTATCCAGCTTCATGCTCTGGGTGAACCTCTTGGAAAAGCAGAGGGTTGGAGAAATGGTTAGATCTCATTTTTTTTTCCATTCTGGCAAAGTATGAGGCTGACTCAGCCCTGCAGCTAGCTCACTCCCATGAAAGCTAACTCTGAGATTAAATTTACACAAGGCTCACTAACACCAAAGGAAGGTGGGGTTTTTTTAAAGCTATGGGCTCCCTGAGATTAGTCTCCATGGGTCCAAGAACCAGTCCTCAGCTGACCCTCAAAAGGGAATGCTAAAAACTACAGAGCCCTACAACTTACACCTCAAATTTTGCTGCAGGACTGGCTGAAGAGAGGTAATAGGGTTCATATGAACCTGATCCAACAGCAAAAAAAAAAACATAGAGAATTTTGTGCAGGGAGAAGCCACAGAAACCACTTGGGAGAAAGGATAAGGGTCCGAGCAGCCAAGTTCTAAAGCCTTCTGGCAGGAGGACGAGAGGCTCTTCCATGTGCATCAAGGATAAAAGTGGTCTGTTGTTTTACCCTGGCTGGGAACAGAACTCAACACCTCCTGGGGATGGTGGAGAAAATTAAACGGGTGAAGGGAAGAGACTCATGGGTGGAGATAAGAACAACTTAATAACTAAACTACAATAATATGGGAAATAATAGTATATACAAATATACAAATGAGTGATACACAGTGACACTGCTCACCACCCAATGACCAAGGCTAGTTCCCAGCTAACGATCCTGCAGCTGGAAGAGACCTGAAACCACAATCCCAGAAAGGAGATCAGAGCCCGAGTGTCCGAGACAACCGAGAGAGGGGTGACCCAGAGGGAGACAACCCAGAGCAAGAGAGAGCCCTTCTGGACAGAGCCTCACCCATACCCTGGCCATGTTGGGCATGGGATGGAACAGACCATTGGCCAGTTTGGGTCTCAGTCCTCAACCTGAGGTCGAATCCTGGGCTGGGAACTGGGGCTGTGCTCCCTCCCAGCTTCTCCTGCCCCTGCAGACACCGGCACAGCCGAGAAACTGGAAAGTCCTTGACTGTCCTGGCAGCAGCTCTGCCCATCAGTGTGTGATCAGCTTCTCCTCAGCACAAACCCAAACACAGCCTCTCACCAGCTGCTCTGGAGAGAGTTCACTCTGTCTCACATGAAACCAGGATGGGGTGGAGTTGAAAAAAGGGCCTCTCCCAGCTGGCTGGCATCCAAAGCATCTGGCAGTGGTCAGTCTGGGGAGGCTGTACAGACCTGCATGCAGTTGGTGAACATGACGCAGACGGACATCAGCTTGGAGAAGATCTTCAGCAGCTCCGGGTTGGTTAGCATGCAGTCCTTCAAGCAGTTATCCAAGAAGCTTGTGTGGTGGCTCAGGACATCATCGATGTTAGATGCCTGTGACAGGACAGTACAATAATGAAAAACCAAACCAGGACTGCTGTGCTGCGCAGGACCAAAGCTCTGACCCACCATCCTGCCTCTGATGGTGGCCTCCCTGACATGTGCTAGGGCATGTTGAGATACTTCTGATGTACCTTCCAGCTTTGAGAAACATCCGAGATGGACACCGCGTTTGCATTACTGCATTCAACAGCCCTTCACAGGCTTTTTACCTTTGATACGTCACATCACCTTCTCAATCAAATTATGCTTTCTTCAGTCATCCAAACCCTTCACTGGGAAGGAGACTCAGGATGGAGTTACCTGCTTTATGAATGTGCACTTTCTTTGCTTTTAAATTTGCTTGTCACGCCCACTAACCTCACTAAAGTCAGCTACAGTAAGTGTAAAAGAGAAAAATAAATCAAAGAACCTTAAATGTCAGTAAGTTTATGAGGCTTAAAACATACAGGTTATTCAGAAACATGTTTTAGGAGCACAATAAGGAACTGGGACATGCAGTGTTGCAAGGATTCTGCAAGATTTTTGTCCAGCTCTGCTACTTGAATGGGCTGTTTCAGTCTTGAGTTTTAAATAATAGATTAAAAACCCCCTCTCACTCTGTACAATTATGGGATGTGCTGAAGCTGAGAACAGAAGTCAAGCTTAGGAAAGAACCATAGGACTAAAATTGCCAAGTTATCCACACTGCTCCACTGGGATCAATGCCAAAAAAAAAAAAACCCTCACCTTTTAAACAACTAGTGCAGAACAGGGATAAATGCTGCTCTCTAATGCAAGGAAGATGCTGGTTCTGTTGATGAAGACAATATGTTGTGAAGACGAATATTCGAGTTATACTTTTACGAAGAAAGCACCTTAACTTCAGGTGGAAATGCATAAGAGAGAAGTCTGACAAATAAAAAAACAGCAAAAGGCACTACATGAGACCAGAGAGGATAATCCTCTCTCCTAAAATGCAAATAAAAGGAAAAAAAACTACCACAGCCTGTAGGCTATGGAGGTTAAAGAGCCAGTTCTGCATCCTCTGTTTGGAAATAAATGATGCTTTTATTTTAATCAAAGAAGATTTTAGCCAGTAGCTGGGGATATGTGATCCCTGACAAGAAGCTCTTTAAAGGACTGAGCAACAAAGCAGTTGCTGAAACAGCTTCTTTAGCTGGCAGTGTTGAGATGTTCAACCCACAAGGGCCCATATCACAACAGTCTAGAGCCAGACTTTTCCTGCCCCAGCACTGGCAGAGGGCATGCTCCATCTCCCAGAGATGTAAAAGCCTTGAAGGACACTGATGAGGATGGGAGGCAAACATACATTTGGATTACGTCTCAAAAACTTCACTAACTTGTCAAAAAACTTCCACGGTTACAAGCGACGACTTGTGTACATATTTATATCATGGGTAGCTTTGAGTTGTTACTACTGCACTATTACTTGGAGAAGCCCTCCATGTACAGAGCATTGTTAGAAATGCTCTACAAAGCGCTGCAGCAGCCCTCAAGGTTTCAGAAATGAAGGAGTGGATGGCAAAGGCATGGACAGATCTTCTTCTTGCCATACAGCCATGAAAACCACTTTCCTCAGTGCCAGCAAAGCCACTTTATACCTGCTATCTCAACATCTCTGGCAGGCTAGAGGCTCACAGATGTTCCATAGTGAGGGAAAAATTCTGCCCACTTGGACTATCAATAAATAAGGTTCAGTCTACAGACGTTTCTTGGGAATGGGCTCCTCCAAGAAAGTATAAATTGGCAAATTCCTTTTTGGAACAGAAATAAAAATGCTTCAATACTGCTATACCTCTGAAGGAGCTGAGAAACTCAATGGCTGAGAGCCAAAGCAGAGAGTGAACTTCAGACAGAAAGTCTTTGCAACAACTCTGGAGTCAGGAGATCGTCTCTTCTGAACAGGGGATGCTGTCAATACAGACTGTGTGCCCACTGCATTTAACAGTTCCTTCTAGGACATCTGGAATTAGAGGAGACTGAAAGGAAGCACTACCTGGAAGCAGTATGGAAGAACCTGGGCCAGGATAACCTCAATTCAAGTCAACTGAGTACTGCATTTTGCAAACCTAAACTTAAAACAAAATTAAGAAGCGAGTACACTTCTCACAGATCATCCGGGAGCTTGACATGTAATCTCCTCTTGTTCAGAAGTCCTCACCAAGAACATACAGAGATGCTCACAACCCTAGACGTGATACCTCCTGTGAATTCTGCAGGAAAAAGGATGACAAGGCATCAAAAAAAGTTGCTTAGCTGACCCCAGAACAACTCCCCAGTACACAGCAGAAACTAAGACAGGGCCAGTTGATGCTGAAGATTCCCGAGGCTGAGAGAGCTGTTGTGGCTCAATGCAGATTGCAGGAGTGTTGAGCTGTTTGGTACATCAGAGAAATGTTTTCGCAGTGTAAGAGGAAAAAGACATACAACCCAGAAGCATCTGATCACAGGATGACTGCCTAAGGGAAGAATATTAAGATGATGTACATCTGCCTCCTGTTCCATCACAGAAGCTGGGGCAGCCTAACACCAGCCCCAACACAGCAGCATGCTGTGGGTAAGGAAGCTGAGAAGGAGCATGAGGAACGCAGCGTCCCTTGGGATAAGGAAGATAACTACAGCTACAGCCATCACAAAGGTTATGCTGCAAAATAAGCAAACCTGAGGAATGGATCAGTGATCATCTGCTCTAATTAAACACCAGTTCACTGGCTGGAACAGCCCTTGCCTGTGCCGAGTGCCATATGCTGAGACAACCGGGACAGTGCTTCTTAAGGGCTTTCTCAATTTCTCTCCTGGCACAGAGGAGATGGCAGCAGGTCAGATTCAATCCCTTGGCAAAGCCCTCCAACATTACTCCACTGAGCTTTTTACCCTCTAGCACTCTCACAGGCCTTCCTGACATCCCCCAGCCAACGCAATACACCCCTGCAGCTTCACGCTGTGAGAACAACTACAACACAGCCCTCCCCATGCTGCTGCAAACACTTGGAACTGGGAGAACACAAAACGATTGTATGTTAGGACCACACAAGAGCCAGTGGAGACATTTGCTATGTAACATGGAGCAGCCAGCCTGCTGTTTATTGCCCTTGTTTTGGGCAGCAGGACAGAAGTAACCTAAGATGCCACCTCTGCTCTCTTTTTCCTCCCACAAAGAAGGAGTGCCAGAAACCAGCAGAAGCCAGGCAGGTCTCCTGGTGCTAAGAGGTGAGGCAAGCAGTGTCCTGGCTCCAGCACACGCTCCTAGGGAACAAAGAAGCTACAGGCTGGGTCCAGGCTGATAGCAAGGAAGACAACATGTATTTGCAGCATTGCTGTGGCTTTCACTGAACCTGCCAGTGCTCAGGCATCATCCTTCGCTTGTCTAATGAACTTCCACAGGAACTCTGTACGCCCCGAATGTCTAGATCTTTACCACAGTCAGGTCAAAAAGGAAGGGAGAAAATGGTTGGCTCTAGACGGACTGAGAATAGCCCTGGATCTGTTGGCAACAGATTTTTTTCTCTGTTGTTGAGGATGGAACCAACAAATCTGACGTGAATGAAACCAGATATGAAGACCTTTATGGGCTTCTTGAACAGCCTGTTCCGAAAGGTAAGCTCCCAATGACTTCTCATTCTTTGTTTGTCTTTCCCACAGGTAGGCAGGACATTATCTGAAAATGTGTTCCTCTGGGAGATGATAAAGGTACCTTACTTGCTCATCAGGAGATAAAAACTGACTCAGAGCTTTTGCCAAGACAAAGAGTTAACTTCTGGAGAAGTCACTCACTTGGATTAGTGAACCAGAAATATTCTGTAACACACCTAGAAAATCCCATAGCTCAGAACATTATAGTTCTGTGAAACAAACCAAAATGATCCGAGGCATGCTTTGCCCAGATACCCCCTCGTCAGGCACAGAAACTAGTGGGAAGTGAGCTTAGCCTCTCCCAACTACCACCATAGTGGAAAAGTTCTCCACCCTTGCCCACCTGCAGCGGGAATATACATGTGGAATAGCCACCTGGATAAGGCCCTGTTTTACAACAGATAGTCCTTACAAGCCAGTCCCTGGCAGCATTTCAGAAGAGAAAGCCCAGATTCAGCTTTTAAGAGCACTGTAAGTCACCAAGGAATCAACTGAAGGTATCTGGACCAGTTTATGATCTTTGCACCCTGCATCCTTCTTCCTTTTCCACAGTTTTCTTTCTTCTGTGTATGGCAACATTCAGCAGAACACTATCTTTACAGAACAGGGTGCAGAGGATGAGCCAGGCATAGACAGGATGATGTGGAGCAGGAAAGGGATATATGACCAATAAAGCAGAAGGGTGATGTAGAACAGCAGCACTCTTTGCAGTATGATGAGAACAACAGTTCCCAGATAACTTAAGTGCCTCCAACAAAACATTGAACAGACATCTGCAGTAACTGAAATTAGGCATTTTTTCCCTATATCAAAATTGTTAACTTCAGATTTCCCTTCCAACTTCTCTCAAGGACACATGCTCACCAACTTCAGGTTCTTCTCAAGAATGTGCCATGTTGGCTCCATCACTTCAAACATCATGTAATATTGGATATTCTGTACAAAATTCAGCATCCGCTGCCGCAGCGTGAAAGCACCAGCAAACCTAGGGGAGAAATCACACCCACACAACTCAGAGCTAGCAAATGCCATGGAGAACTATCACCAGGCTTGCATAGTCAAGCAGAGCTAAATATTTCTGCCCTAGCAAATTCACTGCTGTAGTGTGAGAGGGATTATAAAGTTAATGCAAATCATCTCTGATTATTTTTCCACATATTCAAATGGCTTTCCCTCAATTACTAGAGTCAGAGTTTTGAACTTGTTGCAGACCGGACAATTTGAATATTTGCTTATATTCAATTAAAATTTTAATATTAAATATTAAAGCAATTTTACTAGTGTAACCAGTAAAGTGTATCTAGTGAGACATGAATTCATTAGCAGGGTAAAATTTAACAAGATAAATTTTGCAGCCTTACTTGTTAAATGAATTACTTGTGCTATGCCTTGTATCAATATGTTCAGGGGATCCAAACATTTAATCAAATCACTGGCTACCTAGGGTATTTAATGCAATTTCAGCCTAAAAGTAGAATTGTGGGATTATATGGAGGTTCTTTCAAAGTTAATTTATGCAGGCTCTGTGATGGCAAACTAAGAACTGACTTCAAACTGGGACAGGCCACTGGTCGGGGGGATACCCACCCTAGAGGATTTCAACCATGGCTGCCCTGCCCACTGCTGATCACAGTCATCCTGTGAGCTGGAGGTTGGTCTAGAGACTCTCACAGGTCTCTGCTGCTAACACCCCTACAAATTACAGGAGAACCAGAGCTACAGTCGTGCTGGCCAAGGTCAGCGCCAAGGCGAGCGAGGAGGTTACCTTGTGACAAGAAAGTGTCACTGGGAAGGCAGAAGGTGCTACCTCACAACATTGAGGTCTGCCTCACTCTCCACACAGGCACCTCCAGCACACACAGTGCAGAGCCAAAGATGAGAATCTACCCTCGCAAACAGAATGATTCTCTGGGAGAACACCCCATCAATTTGACCTTATTCAATTTGTATCATACCACAACCCGAAACCGTGTGAAGGTCACGAGTCCTTGCTAGTGGTCTGGCCAGAAGAGAAGGATGTTGTTTTTAAGTTCCCGGGGTCCTCGCTAATCTTGCTGATGCCAAAAGTACCAACCAAGATGCTATGTGCACGGATGTCCTCTGCTGTAACTGTCCACTGTATGATGAGCTAACCCTAAAGACCACCTCTTCCTTTTCAAAACTTTATGCCAACAAAGAGGAACGAGCCAAGCAGCACAAAGATTATCGAGCAGACGCCTCCTGCTGAATATTTTGACCTCTCTCAGCCTGTAGGAAATTTGTAATGACATTCATGTCAAAATGATCTGGTCCATGTCATGACATACCTAACTAGCGAAAAGGAAAACCAAAATTTTGCATCTGATCCAGCAGAAAAAAATGCCATACCACTTAGCTGAATGCAGGGAGAATTGCTTTGCCGTCTTATTGCTTATCCAAACGTTGCACAACTGTCTTTCCACATGTTTGCAATAGAACATGTGTCTGAAAAGCATCTGGTATCTTGTCAGTGCTTTCCTGGAAAAAAACAGGAGAAACCCATCCAGATTAAGCCCTCTTCTGATTGACAGACTAAGCTGTGAAGGCTGAGGCTGCTCAAAGGCAAAGAGACTTTACACAATATGTTCCTTACGCCTTCAGATGCACACAGATCTGCACTGAAACAATTTGAACCAAAGGAAAAAAAAAACATATTCGTAACCATCCCAAAGAATTTCTCTCCACGGAGTCCCTCCTCCATATTTCCTGCCAGCGGGTACATCACCAGCCTCCTTCTTCAATTCCCTCGAGCTACCTGCAGAGAGGTCACCCACACAGATGCTGGGACAGAGGGCTGAAAGCCTGCAGTCATGCACCCACCGCACTAAGACTGCTACGATCACCCAAACTATTCACCAGAATTCTCCAAAATGATGCAGAAAAAGCTGTAACCAAGCTACAAGCAGCACTACCCAGCCAGCGATGCACTGTCAGAAGCAGATGGGGATGCTTATTTATAGCTTCAGGGACTGGATTCAGGTCTGCGTTCAGACACTTCAGCGTAGGTGTCTACAGAGCCCCAGTCAATACAGTTTGTGAGCTAATACACTCAATTTGAAAGAAAGACACATCATTTCCAAAGCACCATGCAATTAAAAAAGTCCCACTGTGTCAACTGATCTTTTTTAAGGGGAAACTAAGGGACAAACTAACTGTTGGCATTTAACAATTCAACATCTGTCACCCTGTTCATGTAATACTGCTTGTTCCATTTGCCCTGGCTCACAGCAGCAGGTCTGCCAGTGTTTCTCCAAAGGCAAATCCCTGCAGAAAAATGAACCATTCAGTCCCTCACAATTCAACTAAATGCAAAATAGCTTGCTATAGCAATTCCAGCAACAGCCTGTATCCTTCTAGTCTGCAACCAGGGGTACCAGAAAATGCGTTTTTTTTCTGCTCTCCACATCTGAGAAATGCTTGAATCTTGCATGGAAACCCTCTTGTGAGAGTTCATATTCTCAGGGGAGATAATTCAGAGAGCCATGGACAAATGAAAACTGGGTGAGCAGTCATAAATAAAACCAGGGACCAGGCTGAAAAAGCATCCTTTGATCTATGTCTTCCCACCATTTAAAATGAATGCTTGTCTTCCCAAGCATGCCTTAGACACGGTCTAGTAGGGCTCTACTGAAGAGACAAACCATATTCCATAGCCTACAAGTGAAGCTCAACAACCTCATTCCCCAACTTACAACATCACTTTAAAGATACAGCCTTTCCAGATTTTTGCTGGGTGAAAATGTGCTTCAGCCCCGTGTAAAAGCTTCTGCCTGTTTTCCCTTCAGTGGATTGATACTTTACCTGTTTATAATAAGGGACAGAGGCCACTTAACGATGTAGTCAAAGGAAAATGCTTCCAGACCGCTGAGAGTGAGCTCTGTGGGATCTGCACTAATAATGGCCTTCTCCTGTTTTGTTTCTATGGCCAATACTCTCAAGAGCTGGGTAATGAGGTCGTGGGGCATCAAGTCAATCTATAAAGGAAGAGTAAGAAAAAAAATGAAGCCACAGGATACTCACAACTACCACGTAGCAAAAGACGTGTAGCAGAAGTAAAAATTAGCAGAGTCGCTCTCGAGCCATTAGACCCGCTAGGAAGCAATAGTGAATGCTCTGGACACTGTAGCAGCAGACGCCGGAGCCGTGTTGCTGCAGTTTTTAACAATCAGCATACAACATACTGCTCAACTGATCATTCTTCCTTGCCTTCATTCTCTGTAAGGTCTATTCAGATCTTACACAACCCAGGCACAGCCTCTGTGCTGCTTTGCTTCTGTAAAATACACAAGCATTAATAGGCAAGACTTCTAATCAGGGATTTTCTGGTACTCCAAAGCGAGCACCCAACCTGAGAATAAGCATAAGAGACACACTACTGCTTCCACCTCATCCCAAGGCCACCCAAAGCACCTTCCCCGTGTTCAGAGGACAGCAAGTAAACACAGACCCTTGTCCAAGGTGGGTGCTACCAGTTGTTAGTCTGGATAAAAGAAGACTTAACCAAGAGAAGGTCTACATAACGACAGCCATCAGTTCTCTCTTCCCTCACTGTACATTCAGCAGATTCTTACAGGCACACACAAATCTTTCCAAAACATGGCAGGCCGCCTGCTCAAATTCAATTATCTTCTGCCTACACACATTCTTACCTTTAAATCGTCCTTGAAAGGATCTGTGTTGGCTGTGCTCATTCGCAGGGCTAATTCAAGCAGGGCCTCTAGCCTCGTAGTTATGATGTCATCTACAGGCTTCTTGAGTTCCTCTTCAGTGAGATCCATGAAGTGAACAAAAAAGTCCCCTTGATCCATCAGGAAATAGTGTTTTATAGATCTGCTCAAAAAAAGGAAGAGACAATTGATTACGTTTTTTAAAGCCCAAGTTAATCCATATTAAACCTAAAGGAATAAAAGCAATCAATTCAACCAGCTCACTGGGTTTGATCACAAAATGTTCCTCTTCATAGAGAACCATAAATAGCCAATCTGGAGACTAGCTGTTTATGCAAGTCCCCCTCCTCCCTACCACCTCAGTCAGGATGCTTTTGTGCAGTTGGATCAGGGCTACTGCTACTCTTTCTTCCCTTGAAAAGGGCCATGAAGATGGTCCAGGGGCTGGAGCACCTCCTGTGTGAGCACAGGCTGAGAGAGTTGGGGTTGTTCGGCCTAAAGAAGAGAAGGCTCCAGGGAGACCTTCCAGCACCTTCCAGTGCTGAAAGGGGGCTACAGGAGAGATGGGGGGGGCTCTTGATCAAGGGGTGCAGGGATAGGACACGGGGGAACAGTTTTAAGCTGAAAGAGAGGAGATTTAGATGAGATATTGGGAAGAAATGTTTTCTTGTGCATGTGGTGAGGCAGTGGCCCAGGTTGCTCAGAGAAGCTGTGGATGCCCCATCCCTGGAGGGTTCAAGGCCAGGCTGGATGAGGCTTTGAGCAACCTGGGCTAGTGGTAGGGGTCCCTACCCATGGTAGGGGTGTTGGAACTCAAATGATAACTGCAGTTTTCAGAGCAAAAATAGGACCAGTGCAGCCTTAACACATTGTGGTTGCAGACTCCTGATCACTGTAACTTTGCGACGATGCTCAGCTCCTCTGTTTCCCTGACTGTCACTACTTTCTTGAACCAAGAAAACTCCCCCAGTCATGATCAAGTCATGACAGTGTCAGCAGTTAACTGAGGACATAACAGGTAGGGAAGTGAGACACTTATTGCTGACACAGCCTAGAGCACAAACACAAATAAAAACCTGACCTAAAGCTGTCAACAATCCCCCTTCAAGCAGGATGTTGAACTAGAAACCTGCCAAGGTTGTTGGTCCCTTCCAATCAACATTTCTGGGATGGCGGATAGTCAGTACTCCCACCTAACTGAGGAGAAGTGGTTACAGAATCAGAGAACAGTTTGGGTTGGAAGGCAGTTTAAAGGATCATGTTCCAGCCCCCCTTCCACAGGTTGGGACACCTCCCACTAGCCCACGTTGCTCAAAGCCTCATCCAGCCTGGCCTTGAACACCTCCAGGGATGGGGCATCCACAGCTTCTCTGGGCAACCTGTTCCAGTGCCTCACCACCCGCACAGGAAAACACTTCTTCCTAATATCTCATCTAAATCTCCCCAGTTTCAGCTTAAAACCATTCTGCCTTGTTCTGTCCCTCCACCCCCTGATCAAGAGTCCCTCCTCACCTGGTCTAATGGAGGGTCTCCCTGCCCATGGCAGGGGGGTTAGAACTCGATGATCTTTAAGGTCCTTTCCAACCCTAACCATTCTATGCTTCTATGATTCTATCTCTCCTGTAGCCCCCTTCCAGCACTGGAAGGCCACTATGTCTCCCCAGAGCCTTCTCTTCTCCAAGCTGAACAACCCGAACTCTCTCAGCCTTTCCTCGCACGGAAGGTGCTCCAGCCTCGGACCATCTCCATGGCCTCCTCTGGCCCCGCTCCAACAGCTCCATGTCTGTCCTGTGCTGAGGACCCCAGAGCTGGATGCAGCACTGCAGGGGGTCTCACAAGACGTGAGACAGGTCATATGTCCCTGGGGTTTGATCACAACCATCCCACTTCAGCCCTCAAAGCACACACATGAGTTGGAAGCTCAGTAGCTTCCTCCTCAACCAGCTGCCCCTGAACTTGAACCCCAGCAGATGACACATCCACAGGACTGCTGCCGAAGGATCCAGCAGAGAGCCTCTTTCAAAGATGAGACATCAACACAAGCTGGAGAGGGGGAGCAACACCTTAATCTACATTGTGACAGACAGACCCAACAGAGGACTTGTGTCACCAGAGCTTTGGAAGCCAGTGTCTTTTGAAGAGCCCTATTACGGAAAGAAGGCTTGGAAGGATGACAGCCATTAGCAAGGTTAGGAAGAATCTCCTTAAACAACTGACAGGTTTCAGACAGCTCTTACGACCTTTCATGAAACAAGGCATGTTCTCTGGCAGTTTTCAGAGGGCAGGAAGGCATGTATCAGTTTCAAAGGTGTGAATCATGGATCTTCAGGTCTTCCCGCAACCTCTCTTGGCTGGAGCCACAGTGTTCCCAGGTCTGGAGCAGATACCTTTCTTGCAGCTATAACTTTTTCAGATCTAGCAAAAAGCAGGACCAAAGCAATCCCACCAGGCCTGCTAGGCACATTCACTTCAGTTGCCATCACTGCTCCAGCTTATGTCTCCCAACTGGCATCTTCTTGTCACTTGGCAGGTTTGTTCCATTAAACTCAAACCACTTTCTTTCATAGTGTGTCACTGGTTTGAAGCAGAACCTCCAGTACCAGGTCTCAGCCCAATTACAAACTACCTTACGACCAGCTACCAACTGCAATTTCCTACCTATTTGTTGCTGTCTTGGTCTTCTAGGCAGTTAAGATTCCTGTTTTTACTGTTTTCTGAAGATAGTAATAAACTAAAGCTTGATTCACACAAGAAAGCTGGAGTCTGCATGCTAGAATGCACGGAATGTCTTACAAGAATCGAAATATAGGTTATTAAAATGAACTTTAAAAAAGGACAACGTTAAGAAAAAACCCCAGACAGGAACCTGGGGCTAGTATACTTACTCTGTTCCCACTACCTATGTTTGCATGAACAATAACCATGGCATATATGGTGAGCTGTTCAATAGTAAACTATTTCTTATTTACATTAAACTCTTCTTGATTATTCCAGATGATGAGGCCCTCTATAGACAGATAGGAGCAGCCTCAAGCTCACAAGCGCTGGTGCTCATGGGGGATTTCAACCACCCTGATATCTGCTGGAAGAACAACACAGCACAGCATAGGCAGGCCAGGAAGTTCCTGGAATGTGTTGATGACAACTTCCTTCTCCAAGTGATAGAGGAGCCAACCAGGAGAGGGGCTATGCTGGACCTTGTTCTCACCAACAACGAAGGGCTGCTGGGGAATGTGGAACTCAAGGGCAGCCTGGGATGCAGCGACCATGAGATGGTGGAGTTCAAGGTCCTCAGGGCAGTGAGGAGGGCGCACAGCAAACTCACTTCCCTGGAGTTTAGGAGAGCGGACTCTGGCCTCTTCAG